AACATTCAACAATTTTAAAGTTCTCCACATGATGGGAAGAATGTAACTGCTTTCTGCAGATGGAATTCATACATTTCACACAAGATGTACTTGTTTTACTGTCCTCTCTGGAGGGACAGAGCTTGGATCTTTTCCTCTTCTCTTCACCCGTCTCCACTTTATGTTGGTTGGGTAGCGGGCAGTCTTGCCCTGGCAGCTGTATATTGCTGTGACTTTGTCCAGATTGTCAACTACTCCTCTGGTTAAGTTATAGTCCAGGATCATTTGTGCCTTCAAGTCCTTTCTTGTTCTCAGAGATATATCAGCTTGCATTATATTCATGATAAGAACCTTCTGTTCCCAACGTGGTCAGCTTTCTTTTCTGAAGTTCTTCTCCACACAGGTAGGACATAGAGATTGTCACAAGTGATGTTATGACTTGCAGCCCTTCATTCATCTCCAGCATGAAACACATTCCCTGATTCTTCTAAGCTTTTCCTCCAGATAGCTTTCCAGTATACAGTATACTTGCATATATCATGCATAGCTGGATTTTGCACCTCAGGTTGCCCATATTATGATATGGACATTCTGAGCAATGCTGACTGAATCTCGTCAATTCATGTGATTGCAAATCTGGTAGGACCAGGAATTTTTAGAAAATTAGCTGATGATAGTCTGCATCAACTCTGGTGTTGTGATGTTGTCACTCTTGCAGAAGATGATTGCCTCATTCCTGGGCTTTCATCTTTTCGGGGGATAATAGAAGACTCTTCCTCTGAATCCATCTCATAGTAGGAGAATTGATCATGTGGGTCAACAATAACTTTGTCTTCTGATTCTGAAATATCCTCTGCCTTAGAAACCTCTTGCTCTACATCACTATCCAAGTTCAAAATTTGTGAAAAATACTACTCAGCTGTAATCCTTCAGGAGCTAAGTTTTTGGTGAGTTTTTTCATATAGATGACGTGAGAGCAGTGACAAGAACTAGTGTAAGAAAGTTCCCTCCCTTACCACACCTGGGACTGGGTCTCAGAGGCAAATGAAAAGAGTAATGTACATCAAAGAGCCATTTTTATTTACCTGAATGGCTACTTACCCACATTGAAGTGTCCGGGTCAAAATGACCCATAACATCATATTTGTATACATACTCTGCACAGACACTCCACTACACATCAGAGTGGCCAGATTTTACATACATGTTCATGACCCCAGATGAGGAAAAGTTACCAAATTTCATGAAGAAGAAAAAAGGATAACCAGTACTTTGATCAACACAAAAACTGAAATGGGTCAAATTGACCCTTAAAGGTACACTATGCAACCGGTGTTGATTTTCCAGCGAGACTCCCCCCAGAGGGCGAAAGTAAAAGTGCACTGTCGTAAATATGCACAGCTGTTCTCCTGGTTTCTCCGTCAAGCCAGGCGCGGTTGTTTTGAGCTTAGCAGACAGGCGAACGCAACGAATGACTAATGCTGCGTTGACACTGGACGCAGCTGGCGCGACAGAAGCAGCGAGTTTACATGCAAAGTCAATGGTTGACGCGCGTCAAGGCGCAGCAAAGGAGCAGCAGGCCCAGCGCGTCTGAGCAGCTGAAGCAGGGAGAGAGACACAGCGCTGATGATCAGAGGCTATGATCACTCCTCTTAAACAGTTTATTGACGCCTAAATTAACTTAAAATGCAGAAATCTGCCGGCAGAATATGCAGTTTGGATTATTTAGATGAAAAACACCTACCAGCTGCCGCGGTGAACCGCGAGGACCTGACCTGGCCAGAGGCTGCTGATGAAGGGGTTCCTTCTGTCGGCGCACTGCTGGTATGTGGGGGTCTGAGCGGCTCCGACAGAAAAAATATTGAAGGCAGGATAATAATCTGAATGAACTGACGGCACTGATTACGTTTTCAGGTGTATTTTCTCATTTAAACACATATTAAAACTACTTTATTCCCACTGATCACAGCAAATATAGCTGCAAGGCAGAGAAAGGAAAGTGAAGCTCCGCCCAACGCGCGTCAGACACACTTTTGCACCGCGCAGCCAGAGCAGCAAAGCTGGCTTCAGCTGCGCGTCAGAACTAACTGGTTCAAGCAGCAAAAATGAAGCAGCAGACACGATTTTGCTGCTTTTGCTGCGTGAACGCAGCATAACTGCACAAGGATCGCCACTGTGCTAGCAACGAGAATGCTTTTAACTGGGGGGTGTAGCAGTTCTCGGCCGTAAAGCAAGACTGACTCTCACGAGACTTCTGAGCCTGTGGCTGCGGGTCGGTGCTCCTGCAATTGCAAGTGCAGTATTTCCCCCACAGACCACCAGGGCGGCCGAGAATACCTTTGTTCAACCTGAAATGACTCATTTAATCATCCAAAACGTTATGGAACACATTAATTAACTGAAAAATGTTGCATAGTGTGCCTTTAACATAATATAATGGTTAATAGAAAGTTAAACCATACAGATGTTATCATTTAAAAAAAAGAATAACACATTTGCAAAATACAACCACTGGCTTCTGTCAAACACAGAACAAACAACAGGTCACAGTAAGCAGAACTAAACAAGCAACATTAGATCCAATACAGTAGGTTAAAGGGAAAAAAAAACAGAAGCTTTTAAGGAAGATGAAACATTAGAAGCATATGAACTTAAACTTAATCAAACACTAAAGAGAGAGCTGATGAATTTGGAAGTAACATTAATGTCTTGCCTGCAGTAACTGACTCTCTTACCATCTTTATTTTGTTTTTAAATCCAGCTAAGATGGTCTTGGAAGCTGAAAGCTAAAAGCTTTAAGAGACGAAAATAACATTGATGCAGGTAAAAACTCTCTATAAACTTTCTAATAATCACCAACCTCGCATTTGGGATATCACTAAAACAGAAGCAGATGACTGTTAAATGAGAAATGTTCATTTTGGTCCAACACGTCCACCCTCCACATTTTCAGATGCTTCTTTTTAAAGAAACACAACATAACTTCTGATCTAAGTATTAGTTTGGACATATCAAATGATTTTTCAGGATAATATACAACACTTTGTGTGCATAAATGCTCCATGCAGGATTCTCCTCTTAGAAACTCTCTAGTGAAACTTTAGAGCAAACATCCCCAAAGTCGGTCCTCGGGGGCCGCTGTCCTGCAGGTTTTAGAGGTTTCCTTGCTCAGCTGGTTTTAATTGAAAACTGGTTTTAATTGAAAACTGATTAACAGGCTTTTGCTCAACTGCGATCATCATAATCAGCTGACCTAGAGCAGGAAAATCTCTAAAACCCGTTTGCCCACAATCTTTTGCATGATAGCACATATCGACACAGCCTAGTTTAACGAAAATACATAATTTTTTTACATGTGCTCTGCTTGACACATGGTAATTTAATTAATGCTATTTGTAGTTCTTTCCAGAAGGCTTTATTAGAAATTTGACCAGCTTCATTCACGTGTGTGTCAGTCACATTAATGACATCCACGAGGCTCAAGGCTGTCTGTATTCACCACAGCAGTTTGGAGCTCCATTACTAACCAGTATAGTGTTCTTACTGCCAGTGCTCTATAATCCAGGCCCAGAAAATAAAAAAGCCTGAACAGAGATTAGTTCCAATCATTTGCATGTTCGGCTCCAAAACACAAACTAGGGGCTAATCACCTGGTTAAGTGAACAGGATGAAGGAAAACTAGGCAAGGTTTTTACTCTGCTGTTGATCCGACAAAAGGTGAATATATACGAGATAGGAACAGGAGCAAGAAACTATAGTTAAAAGTATTTGGATCAAGTTCACTTCTCAATCTGCTAGTCCAAAGTGGTCTACTATCAGAACAAGGAGATGGGTTGTTTCATTTGGTGACAGTGCAATGATGCCGGTGGCCTTCAGGGGAAATTAACTTAAGAGTTATCAGTCTAGCTCCCCTAGTGGCTAAAAAAAACAATGTTGCGACATGTAATAGCCTAAGTGTCACTACCAGATCCGTCCGAACAAAATAACTTCCGGATAGACGATACTTTGTCTTACTTTTTTATTTTTGTATCTTTTTCCGGCGGAGGTTCCTTTTGAATATATTTTTATTAGCGTAAATATTGCATATTCTGAAAACGAAAAAAAGCAATACACTTAAATACACTCGTTTTTGCTGAGCATGTCTGATAATTATCATGCAATACAATAGAGAGAATGTAAAACGTATCCATTTCTTCCAGAAAAGTCTTCAATATTTTCTATACAATGTAGGTTAGCACACTTTTATCTTTTAAGTATAGAAATAAGTATTTTTAGTACCGTTATTACGTAGTTTTTCTGCGATCTGAATCTTATTATTCTGACACTAAGTGACAGCGTATTATAAAAAAGCATTAGCATTAACTACCATGAAGAAGTAGGCCTCAGTTTTGACTAGTCTGTGGCTAACCCTTAGCTTTAGCAACCAGCCGTGGCTAAGCTATTAGCCTTACAGCAGGACCATGCTTCAACATTTCCTACCAATCCTTTTAAGGTTGGTTTAAAGTGAGCAACAACCTTTTTACATGACGTTTGAGTTATTTTCTAAAAGACTTTTAGAATCAGAATGATATGTTAGCAATTGCAACCACAAAAGAACAGATGTAAAAACAAGAAAGAAATATCTATAAAATCTCAAAACAAAAGCGATGTTTTATATATTGTTGCTTGTTTGTTGCCTCATCCTTATATAAATCCTTATATAAATGGTTAAAATGTTATTGAGTTGTAGGAAATGTAGTTTTTTTTTTCAGGTTGATATCAGTAAATCTCTCATCTCTTATTTCACTTTCATTGGATATAATACATATTACTGTGTTCTGAAGTTTGCAGACCAAATAGCAGCATGGCACAACTCACTCACATGAAACTGGAAACAAAAATATCAGGAGGGAGCCGCGTAATTTCATTATTACTTCCAAAAGAACCTTTTTTTGGTTATGTATATCGCATATATTCCTTCACTAATATGCCAACACATATGCTTATCTGCTGTGATGTAGAAAAAAAAAGTTACAGATTTATACAAAGGGATGCAACATTAAAGTATTAGAAATGGCAAAATAAAATATTACAAATAAAACAACTGTTCCTGCAAAGTGACTCTATAAAGACTTCTTATGCAAACCATAAATTGTATGAGTAAGGGGGGGTCATGTTAACGGATGGGAGCTTTCAGGGCAGCATCCACCTCTTCCTCGGGCAGCAGTGTGTGCCACTGGGCCACAGGACGTCTGGGATTGGCCAGCATGTCTGACCAGTGACGCAACCCGACGCCTGATGCACCATAGCCGATCCAGCACTTCCCGATGGGATCGTTGCTGCCCAGTTTGTCGTAGTCGTACACCGTGATCAGCACCTGGATTTTCTGTTTGTGGAGACAAGATAGGGTTAAAGGTACATGCGTTTAACAACTTGCTTAGTTCTTCCTATTTTGATCCCATATTACATTTAAACAGCAGCAATCTCTAAATAACACAGTCTTTGAGAATGTTTTCGATCTCAAGGTGACCAATTTTTTATAACATCTAAAATTGCTAAATTGCAGTTTTTCTGTTTTTCTATTTTTTCTGTCTCGCTTTTGTGAAAACCATTAACCTCTCCTTCACATCAGACTGAAGAAAATGTTGACCTTTGAATCTTAGCAGGTCAAAGATCAAAACTGCAGGCTTATATCTGATATGATCCCGTTTTTATGTAAAAAAGTATTTACTTTTTGATGTCACTGCTGGACGATGTCAGGAGTTAGGTGTTGCTATATTTAGGCAAAAATGGCCGCTCCCAGACTCAGTGATCGTGAAGAAAATTATTATTTTTATTTTTTTACTGATAAACGATAAAATAATCAAGTCACCGCAAACATATTAATTTTAAGTATAAATAATGATACATTTATTATTCCTCGCTGACCGGATTTTTCCTTTAAACTGGAAAATATACAAACCTGAATTTGAGAGAAGGGAATCTCAAAGCTAAAGCTCTCGTTGAAGTAAGGATTAAGAGTGTTCTGCTTCACCGATGTCTTCTTTTTCTTGAGTCTCTTGCCGTTGTGTTGAAGAACCACCTTGACGAAGGGATCTGAGAGGGAAAGACACAGGTCAACATGGACTACTAACACTAGCGGATCACTAGCCTGTCTGTATGCAAAAAAGAAATGTTACCTGACAGTCCTCCGACATCCATTTTTTTCAGGTTCTTTGCTTCCATAATGTTAACCGTTAGTTTACCAGCCGTTGGGACATAGCGAAGGGAAATGCAGATATCACCTAACTTCTCTTGCTGGGAACACAACATATACAATGTTTTTGTTATTGTCTAAATAAAGGAAATAAAAGTTTTTTTTTTCTTGGGGAACAAATAAAGTTTACTTCTTCTTTTTCTCCACCAACTAGATCTTTCCATTCATGTATTGGTTGTCCAAGGTCTATGCTGTTCATTGGGATCTTAATTTCACCAATTACATCATGCTTTCCAAAGCGGTCAAAATCGAAAACTTGCAACACCAGAGTTTGACCACCCAGCTCGCTGTAGGGGATCTGAGGAGACAGAGTGTTAAAAGCAATAATTTAGATAAAAAAATGGCACTGTACTTTTGTATTGTATAAGTACAGATACCTTAAAGGTAAACGTCTCATTAAAGACAGGACAGAGGTTCTTGCGTTGAACTTTGGTCTCAAACTTCTTTTTCTTGTCTGGGAGCATGTAGACTTTAACGTAAGGGTCGGAGGTTCCACCCATGTCCATAGCTGGGAGGTCCTGAGCTTGAAGGATTCCAACTATCAACTGGAGGAGAATACAATGAATCCAGGAAAAAGAGTTAAAATATTACATTCAGCAATGAAAAACGTACATTCATCAATCCAACACAGACATATACAATATGTGAAAATGAGTGGTGCACATGCTCTGCAAATGCATAAATATGCAGGAAATCATAAAAGTAGGGCAAAAATAAAAATTAGACTGATGCAAAAAAAAAACACAGGAAAAATAATGCTAAAGAGAAAATAGAGTAGCAAAGTGCAAAACACACAACAAATACAAAAGCTGCTACAAACAAAAAAGATACAAATACATAAAACACATGCAAAAGAAAAATGCTGGAAGTAAAAAAAACAGTTGAGAGTTAAAAAAAGGCTGAAAACTAGAAGCTCTATTGACCACTGAGGGCAGAAAGTCGCCACGCCACGTAGACCTGACCCTTAGCACAGACATAAAAAAGTAAAGACATAAATGGGAAGCTCTAGTGTTTTGTTTTGCTTTTTTAAATCCAAAGAAAACTTACATTTTATTTATCGATTTAAATATTCTCTTGGCGCTTATTCTGTTAATGTTTTTGCTAAGGGTCTGGTCTATAGATTGTAATTCGTAGTAATTTCTAGGTATTTTTTGCTTTGCATGTGTTTTGTGCGTTTATCGGTGTGTTTTGCTTGCTAGTCCTAGTTCTGTTTTGCGGCAACTTTATTGATTAATTTTGCAGCCCAAACTTTGCATAGCCTATGCTATGCAGCGTAGTTCTAACAAGAAAACATAACTCTAGAAATAGAATAGTGAAGAACGTGATAAAGGTAAAATTGATAGGCATAATTATCTTATGGGGAAAACGTTTATTTGATTTATTATTGATATAGTACAATTAATTTGTTTTATGACAAAATATGTGCTCAAACTACTTTCTTTTTATTTTTTAATTGTATTTCATACATTTCTGTCATGATAATACCCCTTTAAGAGGACACGATGCATGATTGGAAAAAGAAAGTTCATGATCTGTGTATATGTTAAAAAAATTTTTTTTTATAGTATATACTGTATACATATATAAAGTTGCACACAAGCGGAAATCTATTTGTCTTTTTTAGTTTTTTTTTTTAAGGGTGCAACAAAACCATCAGATTTCAGGTTTAATCCTGGGCTAATTCTCTACCAAACAAAGTATAAGACTTAAAAAAGCTTCAGAAGAAGTTGTTTTGGACATGTTCAAATTACTGCCGTTCTCTTCTGTGATTGATGTATTTATACACTGACATTCTCTTCCTTTACCTACATTTGGTTAAGCTGTGTCATTTAGACAAGGGGAAGCAAGTAGGAAAACAGTAATGGGTGATTTCCCTAACTTCTGCTCTGATTATATATTTAAAGCTTTCATCTAGTACAGCAGTTTTCAGATGCACCCTGTGCCTTGAATCAAAATGCTTGTTTTGCATTGAGACTCTGGGTGGCTGCAGCACCCAACTGATGTTTAGTTTGACCCTGACATAAATGACCAGACAGAAAGTCAAAAATCCAATTGGCAAAATTCTACCACATTGGTGATTCTACCACACTAAGTGCTAACAACCTCTGGGTCAACTTGCCCCTTTACCAATTATATCGGCATCTTTGAAAAACTAACAATACTTTATACTTTTGTGGTTTACTTACTGCCTGGACGTATTTACAACTGAAGCATCTTTAAATTTTTGATGCAAGGTACCTCCAAAAAAGGTTTTCCGCCAAAGTTTCGGAAAAGATGGACCTGGTGAACTGACATTAATGGAGACCCAAATGTGGTATCAGTGTGGGAGTATTACATACCTGATTATCAGTAAAATTATAATCCAACGTGTATTCCAGTTTGCCAAAACTCTCCTTCTCCTCTTCTTTCTCTTCATCTCCATCCTGAAATGAAATGACATGGCAGAAAACTGTTGAGGTTTTTAAACTCACACTTTGTTTCTGCAATCCTTTGATTACCTGAACACCTTAGAAAAGCAACATAAACAGAAAAGGAACATAAGGAGTATTACTGTTTTTAGGTGGTTGTGGTAAATCTTTCAATGACTGTAATTGGCGGGGACGGGGCCGCCTGTGGAGCAAGTGAACCCTCTGAAAACCGATCTATGCCGAGCTTGGATCAGTTAAAAGTGGCAAGCTTGGTTCCTTACAACCATTTACACATCACACTAGCGCGGTTCCTTGCCTCCTAGTGACGATCTATGGTATTACCACTCTCTTGAGGTAATCAAGCAAGCCAACATGGCGGCGTTCCTAACTTTCAGGAAGTTATGTTTTGTTATGTTTTGTTATCGTTGCGATATTTCGGTATTTTGCAGAAAGTCAGAAAGAAGGCGCCTTTAGGGAATTTATTTGACAGAGTCGGCTTTGGAGAAGTGGATACGACACACGATATTCTAACCAAGTCATAACCAAGTGAAAACCAAGTCCAGTGGATATTTTTTGAATTTTTATGGAACGATAGTCTAATCAGACTAATCAATCTGAAATTTTATTATTACGGAGACTGACTGTAAGGAGATGACCCGGTCTGCTCATGCGCTCTTTGCTATCTGAGAACCGAGCCAGAACTGAACCACACTGAGACCTACTGATGAACTAGTACCAGTTTAAGGTTTTTCAGTCGTGTCTGGCACAGTCAGGTTCAGTTGTGTGTGCCATTTACACTTATCAGTTATCTTAGTTAACATGTTTAGTCCGTTCTCGGCACGGTTTAAAAAGGGAAGTGTAAATGGGGCTTATGTCTAGTGTTGCACCGATACTGATACCAGTATCGGACGAGGCCCCGATACTGCACTATAATTGTGGTATTGGTATTGGCGACTACCGACAAAGAGGGCATTGATACCATTTTGAGAGTCAAAATTCAACTATTGTCACCCATTCTACGTAGTCAATAAAAAGTTCTACTGGATTCACTTTGTCTTAGTCTTTTTCCTCCTTCACAAAGGTAGGCAGCAGCTTGACAAAGCCATGATGGCAATTATTTCACATCCACGTAGTATGCAGTTCTTCATATACACACACACATCAATTTCAAACAGATGGTATCGGCAAGGTATCAGTATCGGCCGATACTGCAAAGCCCGGTATCGGGTATCGGTATCAGGGCCAAAAAATGGCATCGGTACAACACCACTTATATCTGCTTCCCTCTACTTAAACCCCAGTCAGTCTCAGCAGAAGGCCACTCCCACTGGTTCTGCTGGAGGTTTCTTCCTGTTTAATGGTAACTGTATGGGACTGTTACTGTGCCAACCATCTTGATTGATGGGCAGTGCCGAACCCCTTTTGTCTGGCTAGGTGACATCTCCTCTGGTCTGTTTGCGTGTAGTAGAGACTGACACGGTAGTGGATTTAAACTCCTGTCCCGTCCCACTCCTGGTGAAATTACTCCCACTCCCATCTTGCTCCCAATCAGTAGGACTCCCGCTCCTGCACCACTCCCATTCTTGTTGTTTTTGAGCGCGGGTGAAAAACTCGACCCAAAACTGTTGGTTTTTGGGTTGTGTAGTTTTTTTGACTCGCATTATAGTGTAGGCTTCAAGGAAAAAAACTACAAAATGGCGGCGCCAGTACTGGATTTTTTTTCTTTCTATTTTATTTTATTTTTTTAGTTACTATTGGTTTGCTCCCGCTCCCGTCTGCTCCTGTTAATGTTTAATCCTGTATCGTCCCAATCACGTCATCGTTACTAATACTGACTCCTATCCCACGGGAATCCCGCGGGAATCCCGTGACCCGTGGGATTCCCGAAAAAATGTCAGTCTCTAGCGTGTGGCTTGGATCTGATTGAATTCTGAGTTAAATCAAGCTGCTGCCTCTTTTCAAAGGCAGCAGCTTTTGAGTCATCACATCTTGGGTTGCATGTGCGTGCCTGCCAAGTGTGGTTAAAAGGATCCTCAGTAGTTTGGATTGTTTTATAATTACGTTTTTAATTTGTTTTTCTTGTAACTGTGTGGTTTGTGCTTGTAATTATTGTTTTGCTTTTTTTTGTCAGGTGCTGTGTACCCAGGCGGGAGTCCAACCCCAGGGTGTGATATTTCCCTTCCCAGTCTGTTTTGCTGTGAGTGTGCGTGTATGAATGTCCTGACTTTATTTTGTTTTGTCTGTTTTTCGATGTTTCTAGTGGAATAATCTCATTTTGCATTTTTTTCCCAACAAAAACAGGGATGACCTAAATATAAATGCATGCATTTTATATCAAAGCATCTCTGGCATCCTTAAAGGAACTTGGGATGAGGGGTGGACAGCCTTGAAAATTTCCAACATACAACTCATGCTCTGCGTTAGAGATTGATTTTGAGTCAACGAGTTGATGCAAACAGCTGGTTTTTCTTAGATGGAAAACGTTGAACCGATCTGACTGTATGATCTGGTTGAATTGTCTCTATAAAATCCTTTGAGATGACGTGTTATGACTTGTTTTTATATAAATAAACAGAACTGAATTGAAACTTAATTGCAATTAAATGATTGAAGACAATCTAAGCACATATGTGATTAGAAGCATCTCTAAGTCAAGGATCTGCAGCCTGTGATTCCAGAGCTGCAAGAGGCTCTTTGGACCTTCTGGCTCTTAAGTGGCTAAAAAACAGGTAGAACAACTAAAGGGTTTTGAATATACTATAATAAAAATACAATTTCTAAACATTTCAGGTTCACTTTCACAACAGAATAATATTAAGGAACCAGAAATATGTTTTTAGATTTCCGTTTCTTGTCATTAGCTTTAGAAAGAATTTTTACATAAAATTATAAATAAAACAAAATCATTACAAGTAATTGTATTTCAATCATTTGAAGCCCAAACCATGAAAAAAATGTAAAAAAAAAATCTTATTAAAACTAATTATTATCAAACATTTTTACAAAGAAAACAACAAAGACGTTGAATAACCTAAATTAGATAAGTTATTTATGTCTTTTGTGATACATCAGACATTTCTGTCAATTTGTTATAAGTTTTTCTGCACACTGGATGTTTCTGATTGTATAAATGTGTTGTTCCGGGAACAAAAATATCACACTGATATTGATTAAAGTGTTAAAAACTAAAGATACAAATAACCTCTTTGTTTTTTACTAAAATGGCAACAGATTTTCTATAGCAGATATTTAACAAAAATAATATGCTTTTTTATTCAATGTTTTTTTTATATTTGTGGCTCTAAACGACTTATTTAGCTGAGCTCGGACTAAAATGGCTCTTTGGATTTGAAAGGTTGCAGACACCTGCTCTACGTCGAAGAGCATAACTTTCTCCATTTTTTCTTTCATGCTGGTACAACAGTCATCTTTCAATCTCCCCGACATTTCTCGGCTGAGGCTGTTATGTCTCGTCAGAGCTCAGTTTTCTATGATAAAGTCTCAACTTGGATCAGTGATTGTCCCGTTGCTGCTATCACTGTCTGCCAAACTATAAACAAAGCAAACAGCTTGGGAAACCTCGAGAAAAATATTTCCAAGATTACCTGTATACTGCCTTACATGATGACAAGGATAGATACTATCCTCATTTTAATGTGCTGAAAAGGTTGTTTCTAGTAAACAGAAGAAAAGAAGCTCATCTATCCGTGACATTATTATGTTTTGTTTGAAACAAATTCAGTCAGGTATTAGGGCCAAGCTAAACATTTTTTAATTTTTTTTATTTAGAGACTAATGTCATGACATTAAGAGAATAAAGATGTTATATTACGAGAATTAAGTCATCGTACAACAACCCGTTTCAGAAAAAAAGCAACCCTTTGACCTACCGCCCTTCTTACTGCTTCGTACTGCTTCGTGGAAGAGTTGTCATAAAATACAACTTGTTTCTTGTAATTTTATTCTCTTAATTTTACAACTTCATTCTCATAAATTTACGATGTTATTCTCGTAATTTTAGGACTTTATTCTCTTAATTTTAGGACTTCATTTTCATAAATTTACAACTTTTTTCTCGTAATTTTAGGACTTTATTCTTATGATTTTATCAGAATCAGAATCAGAAATACTTTAATAATCCCAGAGGGAAATTGCTTTCGTTACACGCTCCAGTTACAGTTATATATATATATATATATACAGTTGGATATTTATATATATATATATATATATATATATATCCACAGACTTGGGAATTAATTAGTCTCGAAGAATCAAATGAAATCTTTATATTTCAAATTAACTGATTCCAGGAGGATGAGGTTTTTGTCTGATAAATTAGTGTTATATAAATAAACTGGTTTGCATTGTTCTGTTTTTGTGCTGCATTGTATTTTTTACAGGTACTGCTTGAAAATATAACAAGTTTTAGAAAAAATATCTCTTCTTCCTCTTTATTTGATGGAGCAGAGCGATTTTCTTCTGCTCGGAAAAAAAAAAAAAAACCTTTCTCTAAAGTTACATTGATTCTCCTTTTTTCAAGTAACATTTTATTTGGGTAATGTTCCTTGTATCTAAATTTTTCAAATTCGCAGTTTTTTTTCTGTTGTTTTTTTTTTTGCACTTTCTCCACCGTTCTGTAATTAAATAAAACCAGCCATCTCAGCAAACCGGTTTTTGGGATTTATCAGCAGTATTCAACATAAGCATTTTACTATAATAAGAACAGTGATAAAAAAATGTTTTTTTTTTTTTTTCTCGGGGGGTGGGGTCTACATTTGCAAAATCGTCATCTGCAGCAGGGTAAAGTGTTATTTCTTAGTCTAATGTTATGATGAAGACTTTTTGTAACGTCTGTATCATAGTTGACATAAAGCAGGGGTTTTCAACGTTTTCCAGGCCAAGGACCCCCAAACTGATGGTGAGATGGAGTGGGGACCCCCTAAATATATATTTATGAAATTGTGTTATATCAAAGTGGTCCTATAGTCACTCTAATACAGATGGAGTAATGTAATGAAAGTCATTTCTCCGTGGGATTGTTAGAGTATTTCTGATTCTGATTCCTGGTTGATGGGACAGGTGTTGTGAATGAAACGGTGCCCAGCTTGAAAGATCCATATTGAGATTGGATCCCAGTTTTCTTTTTTCAATAGAAATTGCTCTAATGTTTAAAGCTGAATGCATCAGTTTTTTTGATCTATTTCAGATTTTATAGAAAACTGTAATTTTAACTTAAATTAAGTCAAAAATATATAAAATAAAAAATTTTGAAGGTATATTGACCCAATAAGAAATATAATTTTAATTAAACCTAATATATTATTATATATTATAATATATTAAACCTTAATATATTTGAATCCCTTGCCCTGTTTTTTATTTCATGCTTTTCTGTGCCCCCAGGAAAACCAAGCTGGCCCCCTGTTACATTTGGTCTAGAACCGCCACTGGCATTGATGACTGAAAGACATCTTCTACCTCCACTTATCTGTTCACTACAGTGTGTTGAATTTATGTTAATGTGGTTTTAAAGACATTTTAATTAGTGGAAAAATTGCATTAATCAATTAATTAATCAACCAAAACTTTCACGATCCCCATGCAGTACCTCTGGGGACCCCCTAGGGGTCACAGACCCCCTGTTGAAGACCTCTGACATAAAGGCAAAACGTTGGACTTCTGTGTCTATTGCCAAAAGAGAAATGTTCATTCCAAGTGCTTAAACATTTATAACTATTTTAATATATAAAACAATACAATAAGCGTATTTCCCTTTGTTTGAGCAGATAAGTAAGACAATTTGCAAATGGAATAAGAAGATTTGTCTTTAAAAGAAGAAGAAACACAAACAACTCCGTCTTGATTCAATTGCATAACATCTAATCACTGTGTTTTAAAAGTTAAAACACAGTTTTGGCTAATCATCTTGTTTGAAATGTTCAAATAAAGGGCACCTCAAGTTCTTTAAATATATTTTTAATTATTGTACTAAATAAGTCTCCGCAGTGTTAGAGTTAGAGTTATTGTTTTAGATATCACAGCCTGCTAGTAAATCTTCAGTCAAAGTTTAACTTAACATGCATTGCGGGATTATATACACAAGCATGTTGGTATACAGGTATTTGAATCCAGGTGTTCATGGATACACAATTATACTTAAGGGTAAGATAACTTTCGTAACAAAGAGCTTCTACATATTTTGTTACACTGTGCTCGAAAGTGTATTATGGCGTTGTGGATTTCTAATAAAGTTCCTTCTATAAACCAGTGGACACGAACTGTGATAAGTATTATTCCAATGGAGGCCTTTCCCTTTATTTATTTATTTATTTATTTATTTATTTATTTATTTATTTATTTATTTATTTATTTATTTATTTATTTATTTATTTATTTATTTATTTAATTATTTATTTAATTATTATTATTTTGTTTTAGATATATACCGGTATATATATATATGTGTATATCCTTCTCCTATGTACAGTTTTTAACTTTTAATGTTTTCCTGCTTTGCAAAAAAGTTCAATAAAAAAAAAAAATTATACTTAAGGGTATCATAGAATGATTCTATAGTGTATTTGGTGCTGGTCCTTAAGGTCTCAGAATAAGGTGTGTAACATTGGTTGGGCTGAAAATGGCATATTTGCGGCTCATGGCTCTATGCTGAGGTCCGGTCCAGTCAGTGGCCCAGAAGTCAAGCCCGATTTTATTTCAACTTCGTTTGAATTTATTTAGAATTGTGCTTAGTTTAGAATTGTGAGATTTGCAGAGAAAGGAGGCGTCGATGGGTTTTAAACTTCTCTGTACGTCCATTTCAACCACTGAACTATCGTTATTCATCTGTGGCAATGGAAACTCTATGACCCCCTTTGATACTATGCTGATACTATGCTGCTCTTTTATTCTCTCCTCCCTTAAAAAATATTATGCTGAGGATGTAGAGGTCTCAGATTTCATTTATCAAATAAGTAGGACTGGGAGTCACAGGGCTGAAGCTTAGACAATTCTAGTCTTATATTTAGAAAACATTTATCGTCATTTTGTATACACTCTGTTTATACAAAACAAAGTTTAGTTTTTGTACAGCTCTCATGACATTTAAATTTCTTAAATGGCATATTCCGTGGAATTGATGAGATATGGAACTGGTTGCTGCTGCCAGGCGCCATCATGTGACAAGCTTTTCAGCTTTATTCAGCAACACAAATTACGTATCAATTTAATCACCTTTTTCTCCTCCCCGTCCTCTCCGTCCTTATCCTTCTTTCTGCGACCCCTCCCTCCTCCTCCTTTCCTCTCTCTGGATTTCTTCTGCTTCTTTCCCTTATTGAAGCATTTCTTATAGATGCAGAAAACAAGGCAGCCGATAAGGGCAAGGACCACAACGACGATGGCACCAACAGCCCACATGGGCACTGTGAAAGGAGAAGAAGGGTTAAAGGCAGCAGTGAGAAACTGAAATCAGAGCCAAAAAGATGGATATACATGTCAGATTTGAGTTTTTTGTGCTATTTATTAGATAGAACAGTGATCATCTTAGCTTAAAACTTCCATTTCATACCTTTAGGCAAAAACCTTTAATATCAGATGAATGGTGTATTCAATTTTAAATTGTAAAAAGACATGAAATAGATGTTAAGGGAAATTCTCATTTTTATCACAATAATAAAATCTATATTACACTGTATGGAGTGAATATTTTTCAAAGATGGTTGCCAGCAAAGAGCAAGTTTTGTAAATGTAAATTTAAAACCTGAGTAAAAATAAACGAGAAATAAACAATTAAGCAATTAAACGAAATATTTTCATTAAGAAAAAGGTTTTCAGAGTAACTCAGCTGTTATATATGATTTTGTTTTTTAAGATTAATTTTTTTCACAATTTATATACCTTTTACATATTTATATTTTCTATTCCATTTATTCATTTTTCAAATATATTTCAAAAGATTTTTTTCATTTTTATTTCCTTTTATTAGATTGTTTTCGATTCATGTTTTTAAGATTTTAATTTTGCGTTTTACAGATTAGGCTTTCTTAACTTCCCGGCCAGGCTTCTTTCTGGAGAAAGGAGAGAAGAAGCAGTTCTGTATTGCCTTTTAAAGTGGAGTATATGATCTGTGAAACACAATTTAAAATGAATGAAATTCAAATAATTAAATCCAATAAATGAAAATATGGAAATATTTTTTAAAGTTTAATTTCTGTATACCTTGTATACCTGACAGAAAAAAAACATCCACATTGCAGAGGTACTAAATGATGACCTGGGATCAGGAATCTCCAGCATTTATGAAAATATGTATCTGCTTAGGAAAATAAACAAATACCCTATTATTTGACTCAATTTGTATTTAGTGGTTAATTACTATTATAAAACAAAGACAGGAAAGGATAATATCAACTAGGGATGAACTATTTTGCCAAAAATCAAAACTGCTTTTTTTCCTTTTAACCAAAGTTGTGATTGCAAATCTATTTAGATTTTCCTTTGCATGAACAAGAAGCAGCAGAAGGTTTGGTGGTGGATGCATTTCTCTCTTCCTCTCTGTTAGCCATGAAATCCATTTTTAGTAGAAGATGTAAGAGGAATTAGGTGCTAGAGTGAAAAGTTATTATGGTGATTACATTGGTTAATGCGATGTGACTAAAATTACTTTATTAAATTAAGTCCCCAGTCCTAATCACAGCACATGAGTATAAAATTGGGAAAGGAGAGGGTAACTGATGGTCCATCCAGACAAAACTAGGGATACTGACCAATGGGGTGTGAATGGTTGGGGTGGAAATGATCAACTTTATCATGATACCATATTTCCCAATATAAAAATGTCGGCTCTTGTGTCTTCATCCATAAGGATTCAATTTAATTGCCAAGTCTTTGATCGATATGATGCGATTTTATATTGTTGTTGTTATACCAATCTAAAACAATCACTAACATCTAAACCTCCAGCTGTAGTGTGAACAGCTGATTGTGCTGTAAAAAATGATATTTCAAATGTTGCATTAGTTTAATTAAATTTTGCTTACGATATGGATCATTTTATTGTTAAACCAGTAGTAACTAGTCACAATGTTTTACCATTTGTAATGAAACTGGCTTTATTTAGGTCCCTGCCAATTCTGTAAACTGGTTCCTTCCAGGTGTAAACCAACCGTTTCACACTAACAACAAAGCACTTTATCGGTGCACAAAGGCCTGTATTTAATTTTTTGTTCCTCAGTAGCTTAACTAATCCTGTCATGGAACCAACCTAAAGCTCAATTATAACTTCTATTTGAATTTTCTTCATACCATTGTCTGAAAACTAGTAGGTTTTGCAGCCTGTTCAATTTAAATTGGGGTGATACTTGTTTGTTTTGTTTCACCAAACTTTTTACATGTAAGTTAAAGCAACACTGGGTAATTTTAGCCACTAGCAGCGCAATAGACCTGTAACTTCCAGGATTGGTGCCCCTGAAATCATTTGGCATCACTGCACTGTGACAAACGTTAAACACTCCGTGTTTTGGATTCTGAGAGCAGACCAGTTTGGACCAGGACTAATGAGGTCACGTGTTTCCTGGACGGGGCCGGCTTTTACAGCTGCTTTCTGTATGTCTGCTTCTGTCTCCTTGAACCCCAGTCGGCCTCGGCAGATGGCCGCTCACACTGAGCCTGGTTATGCTGGAGGTTTCTTCCTGTTAAAAGGGAGTTTTTCATCTCCACTGTCGCTACAAGCATACTTAGTGTGAGGGATTGTATTTGAGTCAATGAGTCGATGCAATCAACTGGTTTTCCTTAGAAAACTTTGAATCAATTTGACTGTATGATCTGGTGAACTGTAAAATGCCCTGAGATGACCTGTGTTGTGAATTGGGGCTGTAGAAATTAACTGAACTGAATTATCGTTTTATACATTACACCTGTCCTTGCCTGTCTGCACTGGCTCCCTGTCTGCCACCGAATCCTCTTCAAGATCTTTTTGATTGTTTTTAGCGCCCGTCTATCCATGCCCCTTCCAGCGTACTTCACTCAGTTGAGCTGCACCTCCTTGATTTGCCCAAAACGTGCATGAAAACCAGAGGAGACAGAGCTTTTGCCGCTTTATATGTTGGTTGTGAAGCACTTTGGGCAGCAATGTTGTTTTTGCAAATTATGATGCCGGTGAAAATTCTCTGTCATCTAGGTCATAGTCATTCCAAAAAAGTAAAAAACAAAACAAACAAAAAACAGTCCATTGGACTTTATTCCTCAAGTCTGAAGACGTTTCGCTTCCCAAAGCTTCCTGGAAGGGAAGCGAAGCACCTTCAAACTTGGAAACAATGTCTAGAAGACTGTTTTTTTTACTTTTTTGGGACGATGACTGATCAGACAAGAGTCAGATCTGTATTGTTCCCAACTTTTAGCTTAGCTCTGGCCGTTAAGGGTAGCTCATACTGCTGTTAAATGGCGCTCCGGGTCACATGACCCATTTAGTGATGCATCCGACCCTCTAAAACAGGGGTCACCAACGTGGTGCCTATTGGCACCAAGGGGCCCTCAATCAAGGACAACATGGGTTGCCCTCAGCATCTTTTGAAAACAGAACAATTCACAAGTGGACTAAATCTGAAATTTTATTTTCTGCTGAAGCTCTTATTTTGAAGCATTTATGAAGCATTTTATCATATCAATAAATTAGAACATTTGAGGATTTATATGGATTTCATAATGAGAATATCTAAAAGCAAATTAGAAATGAAAAGAAACGATAGAAATATGTTTATTATCTATGAAGTTCAGGTGAACACCGACTCCTCTAGTTCATAGGTCAGTATGACTCAGTACCCATAAAGTAGCCCCGGGCCTTAAAAAATGGAGCATCAATACACACCAAGAGCTGAATAGATCTTTCTATCCATTTTCCTCTCCACTGTTTATCTAGTTGAATTGTTTCTTTAAAATGCCTTTGTTGTTAATTGGCGCAATATAAATAAACTGAATTGAATTGAATACTGACCTGAAAAATCTTTTAATATATCATAAATTAAGCTTATGCTTGGGTAAAAATGATGCAATGCTGCTTTGAACCCTTTGTTTTCTGCTCTAAGTCGTGTTTCTTATTTTTAAATCTTGCATTTTATAACAGATTGTATTTTATTCCAGCTTTCAGGGCAGTTTTGTTTTTTTATCTCTCTGAAGCGTGTTTTTCCAACATGACAAGTGGGACTCGTGAAGGACTTACTCTTGAGATTATGATCTTGAAGAGCAGGAGACATTGTTCATATAAGGAGAAAATAAGAAAGGGTAGAATGAAAATATGACACAAAAAATCAATGAAAATGACATGAAAAGGAAAAAATGATGATGAAGGGAAAAAAAGAGGGCAAGTTTACATAAAATGAAATTGATTTTTGGTGAACAGTTTTATCGTTTACAGTTACAGATTTTTCTCATATTCTCTATGAAAAGGGTTTCTGTTCCCCACGCTCTCACTTGGCAGGTGTGTGAGCTCGTTGAAGAACTTGCTCTTCATGCTGGCAAACTGGTGGTTGGAGCGGTGAGACGGTGGCGGTGGAGGTGGCCGGGGCTCCCTCCCCTCCTCCTCAGCCGCCCTTCGAAGCCGAGCCTCCGCCATGTTGACTAATGGCATCGCTGCTCTGAAAAAAACAGAGGATGACAAACAATGAAATGTCATTCATTCCTTTGGATTTTATCAAAATCATCCTTAGGGAAACTAAAACCCTCAGTAATCACATTTATATGCATTTTCAATGCTGCGTCACTTGATTATTCTTTAGCATCTTCATTAAAATAACCAAAATAAAACTACATATGTTATGACTCATTAACTACAGCCATGTTATTGTTAGTCCACCACATTGAACTAAGAATTTATAGCTCCTCACAAAAGGTGAACCTCCTCACACTGGCCCCCAAAACTTACTCACCAGACGAAGCCCCTACCTGTGACAGTAAATAACTCAAGGAGCTCAAGAAGTAATATATGGTTAACTACCTAAATGATGCATGCAGTATATAGCATTCAGCCGCTCTGCTCCCCAGCTCTGGAACTCATTTCCTCTTGACCTCCGCAGTATTGACTCTATCCCCTTATTCAAAGCCAGACTCGAAACCCCTTTGTTCCAGCTCGCTTATCTGTGAATACACTGCTCTTTTCCCTATCCATGATTGTTTTTTATGTTCCTGTATCTGTATTTGTATTTTCATCGCTCTTTTTATTTATCTTTTGTATTATTTGTAAAGTGACCTTGAGTGTCAAGAAAGGCACTGATTAAATAAAATGTATTATTATTATTATTATTATTATTATTTTTAAATTATATTTATTATGCTTTCTAAGTCCAGAAACGCTATTTGAACAGGGTGCTTTAGAACTCAGTGAAAAAACACACCTATTACCCTTTTTTCTTATTGAATAATTTTCCTGTTTTATTCTAGTCAAGATTTAGAAGAGGTTGTTTTTTTTTCTTTAAAAAAAAGGATATTTACATATCTTTTTCTTTGAGCGAGGTAGAATTGCATTTTACATGTTATGATTGAGGGAGGTCCTTCCAGCAATAGTTTACTCTAAGAATTTTGAACATCATGATGGAGGTGGGGTTGCAGAGTTAGTATTCAGTCACATCCATGGAAAATTTATATAATTTCGTAAACCACCAGAGGACGGCAGAGAGACACATAAGCTTTCAAATCGTCCCCTGATGTTTCCATGTTTCTTCATTATTATCAAGACATTTGTAGTTAATCCAGTTGGTACGTTTAGGATCACTGTGTATTTGAAAGATACATTTCAGTACTAAAAATTAGATTATTTTCCTAAAATTTATAGAAAGATTGAATTATTTTGTTATGTGAAATTCTTTGTTGTGTTGTTTCTACATCCCTCTGTCAATGTTAAAGAAATCCCTCACTGTTCAGCGGTCTTCAGTTGTTCAATAACCTATAAGGTCAGAAACATTTAACCATGTGTGACCTTTCGATAGAAATTTCTTGTCATCATAATGTTATTCAGCTTTTTAAAAATCATTTAGCTATATAATTCAGCTGGAAATAACTATACTGCTCTATGTAACATATAATGAAGTCAAAAATACTTTTTTACATTTGCAAAAATGCGAACATGCCTTGAGGTTTTATAAAATTGGTTCCAAGACATCAGTTTGGTCAGAAAAAGGCAGCATGTTTCGGAACACGTTTATTTTTACCTCATCACTATTAAAGGCATAGAGGACGATCTTTTATTTCCGGTGGATCATCTAAATAAGTGGTCCTCCTAATTGTCAACCTTTCTGGTGATTTGTTTTACGTAAGGCCGTCCTACATGCTCGTCCCGTTAGTTATCTTTTTCTGCGGATGCTCACGTTCATTTTGAATCTGTGGTGATCTACGGTTTCAGTAATTGAAGCTCACCTTTCTCACCGCGGTTCTTTGAAAACGGCCGAGGGTTGTAAGGGAAAAAGTGTCTACAAAGTGTATAAGAAGAAAGACCTCAGAAGAGGCAGATATATCCCAGAATGCTTTGCGCTGAGATCTCTCCTCACAAAGTATTATAGGATTTGCTGTGACAACGGCCATGACTAATAACAAAGATGGCGCAGGCACCGTTGCAGTGAAGGAGGAGTTACGTGACCAACAGAGCAAAAAGAAGTGATCATCTGTCCAAACGATCAGTTAACTAAGTTCACTATAAAGTCCCCACTCTATATAGTGATTGAGGGATTTAGGGGTTTGGACACAGTGAGGTTGTACGAGCTATGAGAACAGCAACTTTTAAACAGTGCACAAGCCTATTTCTCCTCGTGCACCCTCTCATACATGCATGTTTTTTTTTAAGTGGAGAGGGGGGGTCTTTTAAAAAATTTACAAAAATTCTCCGCAATACCTTTAAGAAGGCAAGCTTTAACCTCCGGGCTGATGTCTTTGTGATTCCTCTGAATTCCAGTTATTTTACTAAATGCACCATATTCCTCTTACTGTCATGATCTCGGCACTGATGGTTTGTTATTTTCCTTTGCTCCTTGCTCCTCTGTCTAATTGGTTCTGCGGCTGATTATTGCACCACCACCTGGTTCCTTTGCTATTTAAGTTGTGTGTTTGCCTCCCATCAGCGCCAGGTTATTCATGTGTTTTGGTGAGACGTTTCCTAGCATTCTTTAGTCTGTTCTGTTTTCCTGATTTTGACCAGTTTCTGCCCTGAGGATCTCGAGTTTTGCCTTGCCCCTGTCTGATCTGTTTGTCTGATCTGATCCTGGATTCTACCGGCTTCTGAACCTGTAACTGTCTTCTGACTTCGGCCTTGGATTTCCCTTCTGGACTCTGTTGCTGCTCGGCGTCGGCTGGCGCCCGCTCCGCTCTCTAGGAATTCTGAGGGCGTCGCCCGCCACAACTGCGGTCAAACCTCCCTCCTGTATTCAGCTGTGTTCTCCGCGTACGGACTGAACTTTGAATCAGGTCAGTAACTAGCTCCAAGTCATATTCAGTTCAGCCTGAGCATTCAGGGCCAGATCATTATTTGTTTTCTGCTTGTCTGTCCGTTCTGTTTATTTCATGGTTCTTGTCCTGGATCCTGGCAGCCAATGGAAAGAGGATTTTGTGTCTGTCTCGTCTCCTAATCGTCCACTCTTCCTCCCCTGCTAAGTCCTCAGGGTTTTTGGCTCTATACGCGGGGTGGTTGAGTTTTTATCCCAGTAAGCAGAGGTGTCAAAAGTATTAATGTTTATCACTCAAGTAGAAGTATCCTACTGTTTAAAAACACTTTTGTAGAAGAGAATCAACTTAAGCTTTTTTCTCAAGTAAAAGTTTAAAAGTATAATTTGTAAAACTATTTAAAGTCTAAAAGTAAAAGTAATGTAGGAAAAAAATGTAAGGACAGATTCTTTAAACCTCCAATACCCTATTAAAGGAAACTTTCTACAATTCTGGATGATAACTTATTTATACTTAATTTTTTGGTTTTATAACTAATGTGTCAATTTTAACTTCGCATCATGCTGAAAAATCATTTATTTTTGTTTTTCGGCGAGCAACAAGTTGGTGCTGTACTGAATCCAACCACAAAGAGATTTCATTATCTGGAGGAAACAAAAAATATTGATGGTTTTTATTCTTTTTAAATACCAACAGGCCTTAATGAAAATTAGCTGAAACAAAACTAAAAGTACATTTTTTAAATATAAGGAGTACGAAGTAAAGATAAATGTAAAAAATGTAAGGAGTAGAAGTAAAAAGTTGTCTAAAATAATACTTACTCCAGTAAAGTATAGATAGCAAAAAGTTCTACTTAAGTAATGTAACAAAGTTTTTGTACTCTGTTACTTGACACCTCTGTACACTTGTTTACATCATATGCTAGATATTGCACAATACTATCCACCTCTTCATATGTTTCATTCTGATTTGCGCTTTAAAGCCGCTTTGTATGTGACTTTGCGCTGTAGCTGTGTGGTGGGGACAGGGTTATGGGGGGCAGTCACTGTTTAAGGGTGTTTTTTTCTCTTTGAACAGGTTTTAGCTCTCAAAAACATACAGCGCAGCGATACAGTAGATTCCTTCCCAATACCATCTCAACCCTCATCGCTATGCAGGGCATAAAATATCTTGCCAGATCAGCCAGGCCAACCATGACCCTTAACGCCTGCCTTTCAGAGGAATGGGAAAGTATCGGGTATGGCAGACCAATTACGAACTCAACATCTCCCATTTTTAAGGGGGGGAGCTGGTTTTCCACTTTCAATGTGCACATTTTCTAAGCTATTACAAGGCTTTTGTTGGGCTACTCTATAAAAGCCTGGAACTCAACGTTAATCCACACATTTTGAATTGAGAAAGCTTCCTGGATGGGAAGCGAAACGTCTTCAAACTTGGAAAACAAAGTCCAGTGGTTTGTTTTTTTTACTTTAACTTTTTGGGTTTACAACAGTACTAATTTCAAATTGCTTGTAAGGATGCACCACTTAAGAATTGCTTAGTGCTGCTTTTACTCGAATGTTGAATGAAGCTATTAGAATTACAACCTTGACATCATCATAAAGACATTCCCAGATTGTTTCAAGGACCACCTCAAGCTAAATACTGTAAATTGTAAATACAGTAAGAACTTTTGCATGGGAAGAAAATGAAGTTCAGACTGCTCTGGTGGATTTGGACAGCCTCCATTCTTTCAGATGCCTTTACGCAAAGCATATGCATCTAGAAGGTGCATCTCAAATTAGGACTACATGCTTCTGGAAAAGAGCTGCAAAAAACAAGTTACACAAACGTAGCAAAGAGATAAAGCTCTCCGTTATCAAACCCAGAACAATGAAGGTTAGCAGGTATCACACAAAGCACACGTGAAGAAATAATGTGGGCCGCGCCTATAAGTCCTGTTACCAAAAGTATTGTTGGAATCTGAATAGCTCCTAAGCACCAGATAGCCTATGCCAAAGGATTAATGGATGATAGGAAGCATACATTGGTCTATTTCACGAAGCAGGTTTAACAAATTCAGATTAAAATCCACAACTCTACATTGATGTAGCCTAAAGTCGGGAAATCTGAGAATTTGCTTTCACAATGGCTGCTATCAGTTAGTTCAATCAATTTCAACTCGGTTCAATCAGATTTAGGCGCGTGCACAACAAGTATGAAAAGCCAT